AAGTCAAAAATTATATTCTAGGTATTATTCTGGTATTTACTACATTATGAACATCGTCTTCATTATTTAGCTCTAGTGACACAAGTAAGCAGACAGGAAAACCTCTTTTTAATACATGTTATGAGATTATACTACCCCATTCACTGGGGTATACATATTCCAAGTCATTTTTCTAATAAAGCCACTGAACTATACACTCTCTCTTTTATTAAGTCCCTCCACAAAACAAAGGCATGCAGATATAACATAGCTGTCTTGCTAAGGGAAGAAGCCTGTGGTCATGAAACAGAATGGTCAGAAGCTAATAGGTTTAATATAATTTTCAATTAATTAGAAAATAATCAACTAGAAAACAAATACTAAAACAGAATTTCTCACCAGAAAGATGAAAAAATTCTCAAGTACTCCCAGTGAGTATTTATAAAACCATGTTGAGTTTTGAGGCTTTGATTAATTTTAATTTAAGCATTTAATTTCTGGTCTATAATTGCTGATGCATCTAAAAGGTTATACTTTTCCAAAATAAGCATCTATAATGGCTTAAATGGTCAAAAGGAATTATTCTCTTAGTTCTAAGGGGGACTTAGATATAGTCTCCTTCTCATTCCCTTTGACACAGTTTTTCCTAGGTGAATTAACTGAGGTTCTGATGGGCAAGAAATGCACTGTAATGAAATTCCCAACTACAGCATAAACAATATTACAAAAAAGAAAGGAAGGAAGGTCCCTCACTAATACTGCTTCTACGATAAACAAAGCCCTTTAAAAATCTGTTCTAGGGAGACTGGCGAAAACAGATTTGCATTGGTTAAATAATAACATGATACTCTAATTACAAAGGTAACAACATAAAGCTAAGAAGCAAAATACAACTTCTAATTGTTGTATACAACTTCTCCCATGTTGGTGTGGATATATAATGGAATGACAATAAGGAATAAAGGACAAACACACACATACACACACATACTCATGCAGACATACAGATAAGCTCCAAGCATTCATGTGAGTTCCTAAAGGCAAGAACAATTGAATGGAACAATATAAAGGAATAAAATGTGGTTTATAGTTCACTTAAATCCTTCTGCCATAAGTAAATTTAATAAATTGTTGTTTCCAAGAACTCTGCTGGCTCTTGGAATCTCTCCCATATATAGATGTAACTTGTAACAGTAATCTTGAATCTGTATTATGAGCACAAGTATCAACCACTGACTACTAAGCTTGCTCTTCAATACGAAGACAAATACTTTTTGTAACCAAATAATGTTCTGAATGCTGTACTTAACATTGACCTTTTAGCAGTAAGGAACATTTAACAATGTTAAAAAAAAAAATCACTACTGAATTAAGAATATGGTATCTTAGCACAGCCCTTGTACAAATAACCACAAAATTTATGAAAATAAAAGTTGGGTTTTCTGCCTCCATCCAATCAAACCACTACAGTTCAGGTGTATGTTCTGTTCTAAACTGAGATATTACAAAACAGAAAATTGGTCCCTGGTGACTTGGCATTGGCAATCAGCATTTTACAATGATAAACTTCTTGCTAAATAACAGAAATCAGCACACAAGCCAGTCTTCTTGCCACCACTTCATCCATAGAGCAGTGTTAACAGTGGAACTTGATGAACAAATAGATTTTCCTGAGTCTCCTGTGTAATCTCTTGGGAAAAAAATTCAGAAAACTCAGAAATAAACTTACAGCATTTTATTTCTATTTATTTTTATACCACTGGATAAGCTTTCTAACATCAGTCAACCCTCTGTAACTAATTATCCATTTTAAAAACTGAAGCACTGGATTGTGTGGCTGGTCCTTCTCATAACCTGAACTATACTGGGTAATTTTTCCTGATGGGGTGGGGAGATATATATATATGTGTGTGTATATATATACACACACATACATATATATATAGCTAGGAAAATGCTTTTGGTTTAGAGAATTTATAAAGTAGCTCTGGATATTACAAGATGGGGAAAATGTTATTAAAATTACAAACATTTTTTTAGTGTCTTTATAAATAAAAGGCATAGAATACAGAAAGCCAATTAATAATAACAATAACAACGATAATAAAATATTAAATATATAGTGAGCAAAGACTGGATGGCTCATTCTTGCGAAACACCATTTGACACAACTGACTAGATGAATTTCCTTACTTTAACATTTTGCTGAGTGTAAGATCCAGCAAACACACAGTAAGCTGACTTTAGCCCACTAATCACATCAAGGAACTGCCTGATGGAATGGCCACAGATGAACAGGTCATTTGTTTCAAAAGATACTTAAATACTCAACAAAGACATAACAAACCCCCCCCCTCACTTTTATCAGACGCCACGTTGTGGTAGAACATCAGACAAACTCACAAATTTACCACAAAAATGTGTGGCAAAAAAAGAATAGTTTATATATATGTATATATATAAATTTCTATATTTATGCCAATGTACTCACTCAGTACAAATAGCAAAATAGTATACCATTTCCTAAATACAAAATAGAGCTTTCCAAAAAAATGAAACACACATTAGATATAAACCATCCAAAACTTGAACGATTGAAAACTGTATTCAAAATTAAATGACCCAGAGTAGGTCTCTTTCTGAAAAGTTCCCTTCATATCGGCAAGAAGCCTGTACTACTGAAAACATAATTCAATGCCTCTCAATCAGAGAGAGAAAGAAAGAAAAGGTTGGGGGTGGAGGGAAGAATAAATGAGACCAAAGAGAATAAAACAAATTAAAGAAGAGTACATTCAAAGAACCAAGGAAGACCATCACAAAAAGGGGGAAAATTCCGGCTGTATAAACAAAACCAACACCACAATTCCACAAAGTTCAACTAAGTGTATAGGATAGAAAAGACAAAAACAAAAACCAGAAATGTAGCCTTCTACAAACAATTAACAGGCTATTTTTTGTACATTTAAAAAAATAAATGAAACGGACAAGAATGCCAAAACATCTTATCTACATATAGAAGCCACACACAATTTGGCCTTAAACTGTATTAACAGCTTTCTACATGCCAAAAGGAGAATAAGACGTAAGCATATGTCCAGACAACAGGTTGTAGTGAGAAGCAGGCATCCCATGGGTGGTGAGAACACCCAAATCTGTATAACTAATACTACAACTGCAAGTTCTGGAGTGTGTTATTTTGCTCTCTATAGATGTAACACAAATGAATTCTTCACTTTAAGTCAATGATATGACCCTGTAAAGCCCAAGGCTTGTGGGAACCATCAGGTAAATGACCACTTCAAACTGTAAAGCACTGAGGTGACAAGTGAATTACACTCACTACAGCTCAGGGAGAAGTGATGTTTCAAGAAATTTTAGTTTGTCTCTCTGTGTTTAATTAACATTTACACTGCTTTCTGTAAGAGGGAAAAATTTCAAGACTTCAGAACAGCACCGTTCATGGGGAGAAAATGCATTGTTTCTTATCTCTCAGGAGTCAGTTCCCCTCATTCCTGAAAGGGTACCCCCCTGCCTGTGCTGCAGGAGTTGCTGGGTTACCCTAGATCAACATGGTCTTTTCATTTAAGTTACTGCAGGGTCACAAAGCTAGTAGCATATTACTAACTGTCTAAAATAAAGTGAAGAGGGGAAGAATAACATAGATGAACATAAAAAGGGAATACCAGTCCAAGACTGGGATAAGAAAACAGACTCAAATTACTGTCAGCTTTAACTAATGTAGGAGACTATCAGAACATAATTTACCATACATCATCCTCTTCATTTTTTTAATAAAGCAAGATATTTCTTTTTCTATGCACAGTTATGGCTAAAACCCTTAACAGAAACAGAGAATTAATGACTCTCTGAAAAATAAAATCAATAGCATTCCAGCTGTTCCCTGGTTGTAAATGTGTTGTCTGTGATAAATAGAGGCCTCTTATCCATGCAGACCTCTTAATACAGCTTACTTGTCAGAATGTTATCCCTTTAGTTTCTCCATAAAAACTGAGAAAAGATTCCTTCACTATAGCCAATAGCTGTGCTTTTTATACTGAAAAATCACAGCCTTAGTTATTATTTGAACTCTTTTTCATAAGCTACTACTTGACTAAACAATGCAGAAAACACAAATGAACAAAAGTAAACATGAAACATGAATTATTTTCTAATAGCAATAATAACTGAGTGACCCAGCTTGTCAATTTAAACTGTACTTTTAAAGAAAGAGTGCCTACGAAAATAGTAATAATTAATTCTGTCAGCTGGAAACAAATAGATTCTCAGTCATCACTGTTATTAGGAACATAAAATATAAAGATGTTAACAAGGGTGGTTAATCACTGCAATAGGTAGCCAAGGTGTGCTCTTTTGCAGCCAGAGTAAAATCTATCCATTTGCTCAATCACAGTTTTTCATATTTTGTTTTCTTTTTAAAGTGACAGTTCAATAATCCTCATGGAATCACAAGATCTCAGGATATCTTGAAATCAGGATTTTCTTCATGGAATTTCTAAAAAAAGAAGACGTTTAACATAACTCACTAGGGAGGAAAAGCATTTACAAAGTTCCTGTTGCCCCGAATGATCCCAAAGTATATTACAGTACTATAAATGATACTTTACCACACTTATACTGTCATACTTTTTCAGATTCAAGTTAAGGAAGTGAAATATGAGATGTAATTATATCCAATATATAGTACATTCATCAGATGTTCTATCATTTCAAGGGCAAAGAAACTTAAGAACCAGAAGGAATGCCCAGTATTAACAATAACCAGAAGGAATGCCCAGTATTAACAATATGACTATAAGTTATCATTCAGAGCAATCAATTCAGGGTAAAAAAGGTACCATTTTGTGAGAAAGCCATATTTTTCTTTTTTTTTGAGAAAGCCATATTTTAAAAGATCAGAGTCTAAACAATGTTATTACTTAACCCAAATATGCTAAGAATAATAAAATTTATTGATGCTTTTCAATAAGAAAGAAGCTAAAATGCATTACTTACATATCCAGTTAAAAGGAGCCAGTTAAGTTGTTCCCTTGGTTTTGCAATGAAACAAGCAAATCAATCTTTTCAATGTTCTGGTTGGTGTTTATAGAGGATGCCATTGGAGAATTCTCTGGCATTTGCTGAGAAAGAAGTGTTGTCACAGGTGGTTGGCCCTCGTTCTGTGGCTGGCCTGGTGGACTTATGGCCATCAACTGATCTGGCAATGTACCTGGTCCAGAAGTTAAAAGCTGACTACAGTCTGCAGAGACATTGAAAACAGAGAAGCTACCTGATTAGTTATTTTCTGTTAAGATTCATAAGAAGGTATTTACTAGTGGCTGAGGTATATAAATGCATTATTTTGTTCACTCAATAGAGACTTAAAAGCGAGGAACCTGACAGCCTCCAAAAACGTTTTCATCAAACAGTAGTAGAATTCATCCTTGGTTTTCTCTAAGCAGTATAAAAATACAACATTGTTTAGTTATCAACCTAAGTCCTATATAATTTCCTTGGTACATAAACATTAAAGAAACATGGGTTTCTACCTCCTTGGAAACTACTTGCTTTAACTGGCTGAAAAATTTTCTGTCATTTGTACTTCATCTTCCTTTCTAGGTCATATCTCAAAATGGCAGACACATACGTTTATATATATCACCACCTTTAATCCTCTCAATATCCTTGTCAAGTATGTAGTATTACCACCATTTTAGATGTGGAAATTGAGGCTCATGCATGTTAAATAACCTGTCCAAGGTCTCAGTCTATAAGTGGTACAGCTGGGACTTGAACTCAATTCTGTCCAACTACAATCTATGCTCTTAAAACCACTATGTTGTGCTTCCTTCTGGTAACAATGATGTGACCATTTCAACTAATAACATTTAAGAAATGGGAAATTAGAAAGAGTTTCTTACTATTTTGAATGCCAAATAAGAACATTCCAGATGTCTGTTGAGAAGATCCAGGAGAATTCTGTAGCTGGTTCATTGTACCTCCTGTAGTGTTGTGAAATAAAGTAGCCTGTGGTTGAGGTGAAGATGTGGCTCCCTGGATTCCAGGCATGTTGTTCTGAGGGGAATAAAGGGGAGACTGTTGCATGTCTTGTTGGTTTATACCGGTCTGCAATGCAGACATGGATGCTGGAGAGAGGAAGAGTGTTACTTGCTGCTCTTGAGAACTGGGTGATCCTTGGACCAACTGAATCTGAGGCGAGCTATGGAACAAGGAGGTCTGTGATGATTCGGATTGGGCAGGGCCTGGGTTCTGAAGTGAGGAAACTGTGGTCTGGTTCTGAAACTGCATGGGCTGTTGCTCTTGATTCATTGGTGCCATATTATTTTGTTGATGGAAAATTGGTTGGTTCTGTTGCTCCTGATTAGCCACTGGATTTTGACTTGGATTGAATATCATGTTTGGTGGTGGCTGCTTTTGAGACGCCATCGGTGCCATGGCATTCTGGTTGCTGAATAAAATGCTCTGCTGTTGCTGCTGTTGCTGCTGCTGCTGCTGCTCCTGGGATGGAGAGTTACTCTGGATGGCAACCATTGAGTGCTGTGACTGAAAGATTGTTCCTTGTTGGTTTTGAGGCATTGGGTTAGGAGGAAGGGAGCCCAGGGAAACCTGAGGCTGAAACAGACCTTGCTGGGAGGGTTGTGCCTGTTCCTGGGAAAGCATAGGGGTCTGAATGTGTGATATTGGAGCCTGCTGCTGGAAAGCAGCTTGCTGCTCAGTGTTTGATGTTGACTGAAGCGGAGAAATTGAATTCTGAGCTGCAAAAAATGAAATCTGTTCTTCTTGGGCCACTGTGTTGGTTTGAAGATTATTCATTGGACTTTGGGAAAGAAATATGTTGGCTGACTGTTGGTCTTGAGGAACAGAAGAGCCCTGCAGCACAGCCATGGTATTCTGAGAGTGAAACATTGGAGGCTGCATTTGTTCAGAGGAGGCTGTAGAAGTCTGACTGTGGACAATAGGACTTGGACTGTGAAAAATAGAACCTTGAGTTTCCTGGGAAATGTTCTGAGCATCAGCAATAGGATTCTGAGGATGAAAAAGCTGAGCCTGTGAATGAGAAGACTGCTGCAAAAAATTCCCTGATTGAAGTGACATCATCTCATTACCTTGCTGGAATAAACCATTGCCTTGCTGCTGGGTACCACTATTTTGAACACTTATCATACTTTTTGTAGATGAAAAAAGGCCAACTTGAGGCTGAGTGTCACCACTATGTTGCATTTGGACCATGGTCTGAAAGACACTGTTCTGAATCTGTTTTGCTTGTGCTCCAGTCTCTTCTCCATCTCCTGAATTTGATGTCTGAAACAGGGTAGTGCCAGAAGTTGCAACCTGCTGTGTGGTAGTTGTAGTAGTTTCATTTCCAGAAACTGCCGGAGGAGAAGAAAACAATTCACATTGCATTTGCATGTCCTCATTGGCTGATAATGCGCTCATCATATGAGAAGTCTGCTGGTAAACCGGAGACTGCTGAAGGTTTCCATTTGCTGAAGCAGATGAAGGAAACAGCTCTGACTGAATCTGGGCAGCTGCCTGGCAGATACTCTGTTGCATCTCTATCACCATTGCAGCTGAGGATTCCATCACTTGCTGTTGCTGCTGCTGCTGTTGCTGATTAGACAATGTGTTTTCATTCTGTGGGTGAACACTTTCAGCTCTTCCAGCTATTAAATTATCTGGTCTGGTATGGACTGCTGGTTCTGTTGAGGAAAACATTCCAGGGCTTACGCTATTTTGAATTTGACTGACTTGTTGAAAAATGTCTGCACTAAGCTGTTCCTGAACATTCTCATTACCATCTGGAGCAGAAAATAAAACTGAAGATAACTGTTGTTGTGCCTCTAAAACTTGTTGGACCAAGTCAACATTTCCACTGCTGCCGCTGGCAGTACTGCCTGTAAAACTCCCTGCCTGCAAGTGTTGTATCGTATTTTGTAGTTGCTGACTCACACTATTTGGTGATGGGAAAATATTCGATGAAATCTGCTGCTGTAAAGTCTGTGCTTGTTCTTGCAGTGGAGACTGCTGCTGTTGCTGTGATGTCTCAGTCAGGTGTGACAAATTAACCACCGTACCATCTGACTGTAACACCTCTCTAGACTGAGTTTCTCTTGTTTGAAACTGTGTAGCCTGCTGTAGTAGTGTGTCGCTGCTGGGCAGCTGACTAGACGCAGAAACCGCTGGAAAAGTACCAGGCTGTGAAATGTCCTGTGTTTGGATAGTTGTCAGGGTCTCTGGGTTGTATGCCTTGGGCTGAATCTGTTGTTGCTTTTCATTTTCAGAAGTTAAGTGGGAAGATGATGATGAAAAAGACCCATTTCCTGCTATGTGAGAGATATTCTCTAATGTTTGCTGAGTTGATCCAACTGTCTTCGTAGTCTAAAAAATAAAAGCCAAATAATATGTATATGTATAAATGAGCTCATATGATTCTTCAAAAATTATTATTATAAAAACATATGCAGGACCAATTTCCCAGTCTATATTATTATTTGGAAAGCAAGTGTAAGACTATGATTACCAGTGATAACATTATGTCTTACTGTCATCAGGATTTTTAAAGAAGCATGTAAGCAAAGACAGTCAAACAATAGAAGTAGACATAGAATAATAATCAGCTATGATATGCTTAGGACAGTAAGTACACATTAATTCTATGGTTCATGAATTACTAGCAAATTTTAAAATATCTTTTTTTAAAGCTGTTTCCACAAACTTATACTACTTTTTAAATTTCATTAGTTCTTAATTTTGCAATCCAATCAGTATTCCATTTTTAACTCAGTGTAAGTCATTCACATTTTAAAAATTCATCTCACAATTCCAGAATTTTTATGAGACTGACCCATAATATATAAATTCTAAAAATTACATATGGAACATTACACTAGTCTATAATTTTTGCCTTTTCTGAAAGTAAGATTAATAATTTGAGTTCTTTTCTACTTTATTTTAATTTTTTTCCCCCAATTATTTTTATTAGTTGGAGGCTAATTACTTTACAATATTGTAGTGGTTTTTGCCATATATTGACATGAATGAGCCATGGATTTACATGTGAAATATCTCCATTTGTGCATCACTTATAACATTACTGGGAGGGGGAAATAAGAGAAAAATGGAAAAGGAAAGAGAATCTTTCTTGGAAAAAGGAAAAAAGAAATAAGGGAAAAAGGAAAAAAGAAATAAGAGAAAAAGGAAAAAAGGAAAGAAGAAAAAGGAAATAAAATGTCTCTAGTTTTGAAAATGTTAAGCTTGTACTTTCATTATACCAAACATCACAAAGGTCCAGCTAATGCATTAATTCCTCTCTTGCCAAAAATGTATATTGGAAGTTCGCTGTAGGCTATTTTATTTGAGTATAACATCATTTATTCTACAAAGCAAAATTCGTAAGTGCATCCAAAGAGAAACAGCTATAAAAGAAATAGAAAAAGTAAAAAGCATTATCAGGGAAAAGAAATCAAACTACTCAAAATGTAACTATTTTTATATTTGAGGTTACCGTGACAGGGCACTAGTCAATGTAGCTCACCTTAAAAATAGAAGGCGATCTTTTCTCTGCTGTTACTTCCATTGGAGTAATGTCTTCACTTTTAATCATAGTGCTTGATATGAGCGGAGTGATCAGAGCATTAGGAAGCATATTTACCTTATCTAGGTTACATCCAGTAGTTTTCATTGCTGCACACACACCAAAAAAAAAAAAAGTTGAAAATCACTGAAATCAACTATTATCACTCTACTGTGTGTTGACACCTTAGTCATGAATCAAAACATTAATTTTTTGATGCTCTGATAGTAGCATGAGATACAAAATGTGCCCAAAGTGTGTCCTCCCTCTTTTTAAGTAGTAGAACCTTGAGGACTCCTGGTAGTAGCCTGAGACTACGAGTTAAATATCAATAAGCTTGAGCACTCAGTTATCAAGTTATACCCCCCAGCACTCTTCAAAAGGCCCTGAATTACAATGCTTAACATGACCATGCAGCTGGAAATCTCCAGGAGGCTAAAGCTACTCAGTTACAACTGTTATATTCTCCTTTTAGTATCTGACTGCCGGGAAATTACAAAGTCAAACTTTGGAGGGTTATAGGATTGCTTGAACATTTCTCTCCTCAACAAAACTCAAGCTTCTCATTAGAAGATGCCATCAACTGATCAAACAGATTCACTTTTCTAAATTAATGTCTTAGAAAACTTGAATTTACCAAGTTAACATATAAACACATTTCTCAAGACAGGACTTAATTTTTTTCTTTTCAGAAATTTAAGTACAACTGATATTTTAGGTTTACCAATTAAATTTCCAAAGCGAAACCAGCAAGTATTTTTCTACTTCCATCTACTTCCATTTTCAGAAGTAGTTACAGACTAGAAACCAAGGAGAGGCAATATGTAGCACACAGGTAGGTTCTAGCACTTCATTCTATCTACTTTTCCCCCTTGACTCTCTTTCTTCTTTTTTGTCTATTTAAGCCTGCCACTGGCACTTAGTGGAGCATACTGATGAAGCATCACTGATGGCAGGCTTCTGAATTGAACACATAGCCAAATTCTGAGCTAAGGTTTACCACTACTTTGAGACCCTGTGTAAAGAAATACAGATTCCTTAGAAAGCTTAGCTGTTAAACTTTTTTTTTAGTTGAAAAACTAACATAATATTATATTAGCTTCAGGTGTACAACAAGGTGATTCAATATTTGAATACATAGATTTCTTAATTTGATACTGGAAAAGAAATCCTGGCTACAAAGAGGGTTTTTAAATGGAATATGGTATATAAGCAGGATAGTTATTTTTCTAAATATTTTGACTTAAATCTTCTGGTCTTTATTCAATCTTTCTCACAGCCAATTGACCAGGAACAATCACTATGGAAACTGATTATACTAGGGGAGGAAAAAGTGCCCACTTTTGATATTCTGCTTTCATTACTCTAAAAAATCAATCATTTACGCATGAGTTCTCTGGATCTATTTTCACCTAGATCCTATCAATACCAACACAATTCAACTTACATCTCAATTTTCTCTGAGTCAAAGCTTCAGATATAGGCAGTCATTTAAAAGTATTACAGGCCCACCTCACAGGATCATTTGAAAGACAATTAGTATTGTCTTATGTTGATCCTGTAACATCAGCTGCTATTCTTGCTTTTGGATTCTATTAGAATGTAAGTTTCATGAAGATAAGAGATTTTGTTTTGTTGTTCCTGGTGCATACTAGGGAATAAATAAATATCTGCTGAATGAATGAAGAAACGAATGCTTTCCATGTCTTGACATAATGTCACATGTGTGTATCAAGTTCTAAATCTTATTGTAATTGATGGCTATTTTAAAGGATGTTATATGGAGGATTATGCCACAACACAAATTTAAGTCATTTATGTTGCTAAGACTTCATCATTAAAGCATAATTAATTAAATCTCTCAGAAGGACACCTGGGTGTTATACTAAAGCTCTGATTTCAAGGAACCACAAAAAGAAGCCATTGTCAAGAGAAATTCCTACTTGAAAGTGACTATCTTTTTTAAACTTATCAGGAATCTCCAATTAATGTGGTATTTAAAAATGACAAATGAAAAATTTAAACTGATAAAATAGTTTGAAAGTGAAAGTCGCTCAGTTGTGTCTGACTCTTTGTGACCCCATGGACTATACAGTCCATGGAATTCTCCAGGCCAGAATACTGGAGTGGGTAGCCTTTCCCGTCTCCAGGGAATGTTCCCAATCCAGGGATCGAACCCAGGTCTCCCACATTGCAGGTGGATTCTTCACCAGCAGAGCAACCAGGGAAGCCCCAGAATTCTGGAGTGGGTGGCCTGTCCCTTCTCCAGCAGAACTTCCTGGCTCAGTAATCAAACAGGGGCCTCCTGCATTGCAGGTGGATTCTTTACCAACTTAGCTACCAGGGAAGCCTGATAACACAGTTTAATATTCAATTTAATTTTATATCTCCATAAAATTATTCTACATGATTTCAGCTGATAAAATTATCAAAATAAGATCTGAATTGTGAAAAAGAATAATATGTGTGTGTCTGTTTCTTATTCATTTTTTAATCTTGTAAGATTTTGATTAAATGACTGTATCATTTTATTACCAAAAATTAAACATAGTGTTTAACACCTTTTTAACCTTCAATCTGTAATCTTGTATGAGAAATTTCACACTGGGTGAGGTTAGCGTCCCTGATACTCTAGGAAAAAAGCATTTAGGAATTTTTGGAGAAAAGCAGGAACCCATCAAAGTTGGCAAAGGAAAGACCAAAAACTGTCCCTAACTTTAATGATTGATTAATTATGCTATTACTAACCTAATGAACATGGTTTGAATTATTATTGCTTAGATGTCACCTTACACACTAAAACTTGATCTATCTTTTTAAATCCTAGCTAAATGACCTTCAGCAAATTATAGAACCTCTCTGGAATCTTGATTTCCTCATCTGTGAAATGAGAATCACAAACTACCTACCTCAGAGTTTGGCTAAATGAGATAACGCTGGTAAAGAGTGTGGCATGCTGACTAGCACTTAATATATGTTCAAGAAACATTAGCCATGGTTATCCATAGCACAGACTTGTAAATTGTCCTGTAGTTAAATCAGATAATTATGCACTTAAGTTCAGTCACTGAGTTGTGTCAGACTCTTTGCAACCCCATGAACAGCAGCACGCCAGGCCTCCCTGTCCATCACCAACTCCCAGAGTTTACCCAAACTCCTGCCCATTGAGTCGGTGATGCCATCCAACCATCTCATCCTCTGTCATCCCCTTCTCCTCCTGCATTCAATCTTACCCAGCATCAGGGTCTTTTCAAATGAGTCAGTTCTTTGCATCAAGTAGCCAAAGTATTGGAGTTTCAGCTTCAACATCAGTCCTTCCAATGAACATCCAGGACTGATCTCCTTTAGGATGGACTGGTTGAATCTCCTTGCAGTCCAAGGGACTCTCAAGAGTCTTCTCCAACACCACAGTTCAAAAGCATCAATTCTTCAGCACTCAGCTTTCTTTATAGTCCAACTCTCATATCCATACATGACTACTGGAAAAACCATAACTTTGACTAGACGGACCTTTGTTGACAAAGTAATGTCTCTGCTTCATAATATGCCGTCTAGGTTGGTCATAACTTTCCTTCCAAGGAGTAAGCGTCTTTTAATTTCATGGCTGCAATAACCATCTGCAGTGATTTTGGAGTCCCAAAATAAAGTCTCTCACTGTTTCCGTTGCTTCCCCATCTATTTGCCATGAAGTGATGGGATCGGATGCCATGATCTTAGTTTTCTGAATGTTGAGCTTTAAACCAACTTTTTCACTCTCCTCTTTCACTTTCATCAAGAGGCTCCTTAGTTCCTCTTCACTTTCTGCCATAAGGGTGGTGTCATCTGCATATCTGAGGTTATTGATATTTCTCCCAGCAATCTCGATTCCAGCTTGTGCTTCTTCCAGCCCAGCGTTTCTCATGATGTACTCTACATATAAGTTAAATAAGCAGGGTGACAATATAAAGCCTTGACGTACTCCTTTTCCTATTTGGAACCAGTCTGTTGTTCCATGTCCCAGTTCTAACTGTTGCTTCCTGACCTGCATACAGATTTCTCAAGAGACAAGTCAAATGGTCTGGTATTCCCATCTCTTTCAGAATTTTCCACAGTTTGTTGTGATCCACACAGTCAGAGACATTGGCACAGTCAGTAAAACAGAAGTACATGTTTTTCTGGAAATCTGTCGCTTTTTCGATGATCCAGTGGATGTTGGGAATTGGATCTCTGGTTCCTCTCCCTTTTCTAAAACCAGCTTGAACATCTAGAAGTTCATGGTTCACGTATTGCTGAAGCCCAGCTTGGAGAATTTTGCGTATTACTTTGCTAGTGTGTGAGATGAGTGCAACTGTGCAGTAGTTTGAGCATTCTTTGGCTTTGCCTTTCTCTGGGATTGGAATGAAAACTGACCTTTTCCAGTCCTGTGGCCACTACTGAGTTTTCCTAATTTGCTGGCATATTGAATGCAGCACTTTCACAGAATCATCTTTTAGGATGTGAAATATCTCAACTTGAATTCTATCACCTCCGCTAGCTTTGTTCGTAGTGATGTTTCCTAAGACCCACTTGACTTCACATTCCAGGATGTCTGGCTTTAGGTGAATGATCACACCATTATGGTTATCTGGGTCATTAAGATGCTTTTTGTATGGTTCTTCTGTGTATTCTTGCCACCTCTTAATATCTTCTGCTTCTGTTAGGTCCATATGGATTCTGCCCTTTATTGTGCCCATCTTTGCATGAAATGTTCCTTTGGTATCTCTGATTTTCTTGAAGAGATCTCTAGTCTTTCCCATTCTATTGTTTTCCTCTATTCCTTTGCACTAATCACTGAGGAAAGCTTTCTTATCTCTCCTTGCTATTCTTTGGAATTCTGCGTTTAAATGGGTATATCTTTCCTTTTCTCCTTTGCTTTTCACTTCTCTTCTTTTCACACTAGTGCATAATTCCTAATTAATCTATTTCAGAAGTGTTGATGGTCAGAAATTATAATGGCAAGCCATACTGAACTGTATATGTGAATGCTGAATTTTACTATGACACAGGGGAAAATTCCATGGTATTCGATAAAATGTATTAAGGATATTATGCCCCTTAAAAATGTAAGTATATAAAATTTTAAAATTTGACTCATGAATTTAATGGCAAAAGTGTAAGAAAAAGCTAGAATTATGGAATAAATCAATGACCATTATGTAATTGACATCTTAACATATAATGGCACAAAAGCATCACAATTGAGCATCACAGATGTATTAGAAATCTGCTAAGAAAACTGTCTATTCTAACACATTATAACATCCTGAAGATATCGTCATTGTCTGCTTGGAAATAATGATATCAAAAGAAAGAATGGTACCTAAAGCAATTTTTTCAAATGCCAACAGTTCTTATTTTGGTGCTTCAGCCTCAATGTCAAGTCCTACTTACTGGCAGCAAGAAGCTTTATATAGCTATTTTGCATACCTTATCGTACTCTATACTTTTAAGATTTTTAATATTAGGGAATAAAAAACAAAACAAAAACTCCTTAACTGTAACATATTTTTTAAAAAGTTGTTTATATGGCAAATGAAGGGAAATATCAAGTTAGGAAGCAAGTCTCTGCATTCAGTGAAGTTAAACAAGCATTTATTTTACAATATCAAAGATAATCTGCTAACTGTTTCAAGTACACAACAGTAAATTAAATAGTAAGGTTTGCTAGAGAAAATATATAGCATCACTGATTTATAATTTTTGAGCAGAATTAACTTGGTACCTTTCATGGCTTCTTCGAAAGAGCAAGGTCTTGCTGGACTAGATATTTCCTTCTTTACATTCACATTCAAAGCAACAGCTGCTGTTATTAAACAAAAAAGATTAATGTATTTATTTAGACTTATCCTGAAAAATGTATATCTTAAAATTCTTTAACAGGAGTATTTTCTCATAAAGCATTATTAAATTATTTGTTCAGCAGAAATTCTAGATTCAGATGAGTTTTTATAATCTATACTCACCAGTTTACCCTCTAAAATGCACCAGTCTCCAAGTGGGCAGAAGCATATGCTTATTATTAAAACAAAATAAAAATAACAGCAACTTTAAAAAATCTTTCTTGTAACAGTACAAATGAATAGAAGATTGACATGAGATCGTTAAAAACGTATCAATACCAAATATACTGTAACACTAGCATGAAAAAAATTCACCATTCACCTACGTAAATGATTTTAAAAAATACTGATTCAGAAACATAATTGAGATAATTTTTTTAAAAACTGTGCTGAATATACAAAATATATAGTATCATTACTTTTTAATAAAGCCTTAGAAATAATAATCTTTGCTATTATTAATGAAGAATTGCTACATTATTATATCTACACATATCAAGTACACCTACTATGAAAATTTTAAATTTAATGAACATAAGAGTAGAGATCAGTTCTGAATGGTAAAGTTGAATTCCAAATAAAAAGGTTTTCTTAAAATGATTGTATAATAATATTTAAATAGATGCTAATTTTTATTCTTTAATGTATTTATATTCCCTAACTTATTCCAAATAAGAACTCAGTCAATTTATTATCAACTTATTCTTGACATCATAATGCAAAATGATGGTTACAGAGAATATAAAGATAATTAACTGTGAATAAACAGACAAAATGTACATGTCTCCTAAGAATGAGGTTAAAAAATTTATCTAAGGATGCTGTATGTAAGGGCCAACAAATGATAATCTGAACGAACTGTTAATTGAATGAAATTATCAAACTGAATAGAACTGACTGGAAAAGAAATTCTTAGGCAATTTTAAAGCATAATATTTATTCTAACAATTACAGATTTCAGAATGGAAACTAATCTTCGAAAAATTTTTAAATTTCTACTTTTAACACAAGTTTTAGTCATTTGTTTTTAAAGCAACAAAAAAATATGAATAAGTATTTTAGCCTCTATTTCTTATAGCAATTACCACTGCAGAGTCACTGCAAAAAACAACTAATATGATTTCTGTGTCTTAAAAGATGGAAGTAAAACAAGTTAATGGTCAAGCATGGTTCAGTGACTAGCAATGAAACAAAGGTTTTTTAAGTCTTCAAAGTAAGTCTAAAAGAATACACATGTGATGTGTTTTTGGCAGTACAGACTCAGAAGGCTTTAGAGGGGCTTGTGTCTGGCAAAGCATGTTCACTTGAGCCCCTGTTCCAATCCTACTTTTAGACTATGTACCAAGTATATAAGATACCAAAATTTTCTGCGCAACTACTCTATAGACTATGTGTGCCATCTTAAGCCTATAGGGTGAACAGAGCTTAGGGGCATCAGCTGGTGCATCAAGGCCCTCCAGGTGAAGGATGGCGCCAGGAGAGGGAAGTAGGTCTTGTTTTAGCTGTTATAATTACTATGTGCTAAGTCTCATCAGTCGTGTCCAACTCTGTGTGACCCCATGGACTGTAGCCCACCAGGCTCCTCTGTCCATGGAATTCTCCAGGCAAGAATCCTGCAGTGGATTGCCATTCTCTTCTCCAGGGTATCTTCCTGACCCAGGGATCGAACCCGCCATCTCTCACATCTCCTGCATTGGCAGGCAGGTTCTTTACCACTAGAGCCATCTGGGAAGCCCTACAATTATAATCACTATACGCCACTGAATATGCAAATCTTTAACCACAGTCCCCAGCTGAGTCAAAACAGCAACTAGTTTATCACAATGAGACAGTGCGAATTATCATAACCAAGTTTTCCTGAAATATTCTCTCATGTGCACACCTAAAAAGACATTCACAGTTTATAAAACAAAAAAAGTGAAATTATGGGAAGATTCTTTAATTAGCTATATCATAAAGGCAGAAACTGAAGCATTAGATCTCACTATAAAATTTGCACAAAATATATATTCAAATAAGAGTTTCTGAGAGCGACTGCTATCTAGTACATATAAAATACAAGGGGGAAAAACATAAAAGGATAAACATTATGTCAGTGATGGTCTAAATGTGGCCAAATATAGCCAATTAGTGTAGGCTTTATATTTGGCAATTTATCAAAGAAAAATTTTTAATAATGAGCATTCATCACTAAGAAATGAAGATTCATAGTGCTGATGCTAAGCACTTCAAAGCCCTGAAGTTCCTTATTACTGATCAATAAAAAGAAACAAAGACAACAAAATCTCAGTATTTTAAGGATGGTAAAACTTTAAAGCTATTCACCCTCCCCACACACACACTTCCTTCTCCCCTTCCCATACGAATGTATTAATTACTGTATGCCATTTTTCTCCCTCTATGAGCAAGCTTCTCTTCACGTATAATACTAAATATTCTAGCAATTACTAAAATGCTTTAACTACCATTAGTTTTAAATCAAATTTTCTTGGATTTTTGAGACTTTCATAGAAAGAAAACAATCAACTGTTTGATTTTTAAGTATAAACCAGTATCCTCTTTCCTAGTTTTGTTGAAGCCAGTATATTATTTCCAAACTTTGTCTTTTTCTGTCTAAAATCTCTACATGTGATCTTTTATTCTGAGACAAACTCTAAAAGAATTTCATAAGGGCTATATTATGGCACACTTTTGTAACAAACTGGTGGGAAATAACCAACGTTGTGAAAGTTGGACATGATTTACAAAAGAAAAAGGGAACAGATAACATTAAGTGATAGAGAATAATTATCAAGACTAATTATAACTCTGTCCTAGCTACTGTGTTCATCACTTCTGTTACCAGGGCTTTCTTTCCTTCCTACCATTTTTCACTTTGCAATTCACTGATTTCTGAACAATTTGGGGAAAATGTTACCAGTAAACTTGGAGATATGGAAGAACTTCTAATTCTGGAGCATGCCTGAGATACGAACGGAGTAAATAAATGGCAGTGTGGCAGCAGCCAAGTCTAGGTCAACAAAACATGTGAAGCGTTTCCATTTCCAAAATGTTTTCTCTACTTTTCCAGGAAAAGGCTTCTCCAGGCAACTAAATGGATGTAGGTAAAAATCTCATAAGATACTTCTTACCCAGAGATATAAAATTTTAAACAACTGCTCTAGTTTCTAAAGCACCTGTTTTACCTAAATGCTTAAAATTATTTTTTAAATACTTATTCACCAGAAGTCTTTGATATTTTTGACTACATAAATTAGAAAATGATACAGGCATATGACTCTATTTGTGATATTATCACTTATCTCTCTGAGATTATCTCTCACCTCTCCCAAAATGCATCCTGTAAGACAGCCAGACTGCAAACTACTAGCAGTTTTCCTAAAGTAGTACATAAGAGGTATTCAATAAATGGTAATTCTTACCTTATCATACAAGTACTTGTATGATAACTCTGTAAGGCAGAAACGGTTCTCTTAACTAAGAGTAAAAGCAGAGTTTGTTGGCCATCTTATTGGGAAATAATGCCATCTCCAAAAAATACTGGTATCAATTTACCTTTGCACACTACTTCCTCTTTTAAGTTGGCTGGTCTTCATATTCTTCTGAAGAAGCAGAAATGGATTACTCTTTTGATTCAGAACTTTTAATATTTTGACATACCTGGGTCTGGAGTGTAAGTGAATGGCTGAACATCATGAGATCTTCCAGCATTGGTTACTACATATATTCCCACTGCTACTGGCAAAGTTATATGTTGATCATGATATGGGGGAACCTTCACAATAAGATGATTCTAATTGAAAGAAAATTATAAGAGGCAGAAATAAAGCAATATATAAATCAAAAATTTGAAATAAAATATTATATTAAGTACTTTCCTGTTAGCTGTAAAGTTTAAAAAGTTTGACTAGGTGGAAAAAAGTATTATTTAAAAGTTCGGGTCCATGGGCATCAAGACATTAATCTTAAAGTTGCTTTTAAGGTAAAGTACCAATGTTTTGCAAAGGCATAAAAGGTTCTGGTCCTGTCAACTTTATCTCATTCCCATTTTCCTCTAGCTTGTTACACTCCAGGTACACTGACCTTCTTACACTAACACACTAAATTCATTTTTACCTCAGAGCCTTTACAACTTGCTATTCTCTTTCACTGGAATACTCTTCTCCTTTATCTCTTTAAATATCCAGTTCCTTACCCATTTCCAGATCTCATTCAAATGTCATCTCCTCAGAGAAGCCTTCTCTGACCATCCTCTTTCGGCAGCCCTCTCCAATCTGATCACAGAATCCTGTTTATTTCTTATAACCACCTGAAATTACTGTGATTATCTGCTTATTTTTTGTCCCCTCTACAACCACAAGAATCCAAGTTCCAAGAGAAGCTAGGATGTTCTGTTCTTCATCCTATCTCCACTGTTAAGCACCTCACACAGAATATACTCAAATAGATTTGTTGAAAAAAAGAATGAATATATTTCCAAGAAAAAAAATTGCCCACCAAGCAATATCAGTTACTATATGTTTTGTAAACCTTAACGGTGAGATGTACTTTGCAGTGCAGTTCACTGCTTTCTAACCACTAAAACTAATTCTCAGTCTATTTAAATTTAAAATGTTTCAATTTGTATTTAAAACTAGTAACTAATTCTCATTTAAAGTTAACAGAGTTCAGTTTACCCAAAACCCAGTAAGTCAAGGTCATTTTTGTGTGTGTGAAAATAGTGGTAGAAGCATCCTTTTAAGAGAAAAAGGAAGAGTTCCATAAATGCCTCAGCAGCACTTATTCAAGGGGACTACATCTTCTTAGAAGATATCATGAACTGCATGTGACTTATTCTCTTCTTCCCTGCTATGTTACACTACTGGAAAAGAACAGCAAAAGGTAGTGACTGTGCTTTTGTACTATGCGATATGCAGGAGGCCAATGGTGACAGCTGAGGATGAAATGAGTTTAATGTCATTTTTTACTTAGTCAGACTCTGGAAGTTGGCTGACTCAGTTGAACAGAACATGACAAATGAGGCCAAGATTTCAATTTTTGAGTACTTAATTTGTTTCTAAGCCATCTTAAAAGATGCTCTGAAATAGTCATATTGTAAATTTTAAAATAGCTTCTTATTTATGGTAATGGTAGAATGCTTTCTGAGTCCAGTTAGCTATCTCAAAAAAATCACACTTCTAATTCAGGTGGAAAAACATATAAATGTATACATCCACAGGAATTAGGGGGCAAAAATCTGAAAGCACATACTCAATTGTATATGAAGCCATCAAAAAATGTATCTGCATTGACTCAAATTCTTAGAAATAAGAGTTTTAAAATCTTGCCCACCTTCATTTTTCCTCCTTTGTTTAAACACTGCAACTACATCACAAAGCAGTTCTACCTACATTTAAGGAGATGGCTGAATGGATGGACTTTGAAGTATCTTCCCAGTCTTAAGATTATTTGACCAACTCAATAACTGAAATTATTTTTCCAAATAAAAATTTGTTCTTGGTAATTAGTAACAGAATTAGTATCTAAAAGTCAGAAGAATATATATATACACATATATATATTTATTTATTTACATATATATATATATATTTATATATATATATGTATTTTAATCTTTTACTCCACTTGTTTTAGAGAGTGTAGTTAAACAAACCTAATTTGAAACTTAAAAATCAAATGAACAAATTATTCACATGTCCTCAATCTGAAATCAAGAAATTCTACAAATGATTTGAATTAAAAACTAAGTAAACTGTGAGTACTGCCAGTAAATTTAAAAAAAAAACCTAATCTCAAAAATTAAGAGCAATTAACTACCACTGAACTAGGAGTACAATACACGCAAAACACACAAAGGGCTGGGAGCCCTGTGGAGCAGGTAGAGTGTTTTCTGAGGTAAAAAGGGAAGAATATTTAATTTTAATTTCTTAGAAAAATCTGGTTGGATTCAAAATAATGATCTTCTTTATCCCAGCAGATAATCTTTTTTCAGGGTTTATAAGCAATGGTGCTAGATATTTTTCACGTTCCTAAGGAATAATTTATCATTGTTAAAACTGTCATTTTGCAGTTGGGGGTATATACATAAAAATAATGTATGGAGACACAAAACAAATTCCTAATAAGACCAATTTCTCGAAACTCTCAAGTCTTTGTTTAGCCTAGTTGTTCCCCAAAATTCTGAGGATCCTCTCGGCATTTCTTCCAAGAATTTTCTTTACATAGTTCTACTAAAAATTCCATCTTCTTCAAAGCTCCATCTTATTTTTTTTTTATTCTTACTCTCTAAAAAATACAATATAAAAAACCCAGAAGACTAGAAGTTGAGGAATTATAATCCATACATTTTTCTATTTTTAATAGGCTCATGTCTATTTCATGTTCTGTAAAACAAGTTATACTTATATCAAATTATAGACCTCTGATACAAATGAACTTATTCACAAAATATAAACAGATTCACAGACTTTGAAAATAAACTTATGCTTACCAAAGGGGAAAGGTGGGAGGGAGGGATAAATTAGAAGTTTGGGAACTTACATATAGGCATTACTATATATAAAACAGATAATCAACAAGAACCTACTGTACATCACAGGGAACTCTACTCAATACTCTGTAATAACATGCTGCTGCTGCTAAGCCACTTCAGTCGTGTACGACTCTGTGCAACCCCAAAGACGGCAGCCCACCAGGCTCCCCCATCCCTGGGATTCTCCAGGCAAGAACACTGGAGTGGGCTGCCATTTCCTTCTCCAATGCATGAAAGTGAAAAGTCAAAGTGAAGTCGCTCAGTCATGTCCGACTCTCAGCAACCCCATGGACTGTAGCCTATCAGGCTCCTCCGTCCATGGGATTTTCCAGGCAAGAGCACTGGAGTGGGGTGCCATTGTCTTCTCCCTATAATAACATATACCCATATAATTACCTATATGGGAAAAGAATCTGAAAAAAGAATGAATATATGTATAACTAAATCACTTTGCTGTACACTGGAAACTAACATAACATTGTAAATCAACTATACTTCAATATAAAGTAAATAATTAAATGAAAAAAACAAAAGAAGCTAAAAAAAAAGATAGAGCTCTCCGAGGCTCTAAAATATTTGCTTCTAATTTCCTTTTAAAATCACCTTCATACTCAAGCTGCTAAACTCTTCTTTCTTTTAAAACCAATTTATCTTCAAAAACAAATATATATATGTGTGTGTGTGTGTAGAGAGAGATCTGTCTTTAAGATATGTATCTTATATATACATTGAATAGGCAATTAAGGCCCTACAGAATTCATCTAAAGTTGTTAAAATGGGAGTAGATATAATAACCATGTGCCTATTGCTTTTGGTATACACGAGTATGAGATATATTATGGCACTGACTAGAAGAGCCAAATTTTTTTTTTTTTTAGAAGAGCCAAATATTAACAATGAATTATTTTCCCAGACTTTGTTAGCCTCAATTTTCAAGTAATAAAAAAGTTTAATACCTGATGAGTTGATTTTGGAGTTTCAAATGAATAGCTATCACAATTATATTTTCAATTTGCAAAGTCATCATTAAGTGGTCTTTTGTACTATACCATCCTCTAGTCATTTTTTATTATTATAGAGGGCCTTTTAACTTTTCATTATAGGCCTGTTATTTTTTTATTGACCACACTCAAAGTCTCTTTACTTTTAATGTATTTTCTGTTCATACTTTTTTCTAAGTGTTTAATTTTTGTGTTTTTTTCTTTAATATAAGTATAATCTTTAGGATTTATTTTGTATATCTCAGCTCTGATTCCACTCTAACATACTTCCCAGAAAGCCCTGTAGAAAGAAAGAAAAAAAGAAAGTTTTCTCTGAAAAAGATCAAAAAATTTTTAATAAATAGCAGAACCACAGAATTAATGAAAGATCATATTATGATTTAGCCTGTTTACATACTTGCTTACAAAAACCCCAGGGTCTCTATATATAGCCACCAAATGAGGATATAATTCCTTTGCATTCCACCAAATTTTTATGATTATTCTGCATTAATCCACCATATAACGTGTTTTACAGAACATGAAATAGACATTAGCTATTAAAAACATAAAATTCCATCTTCTTCAAAGTTCCACCTTATTTTTTTTTATTCTGTCTAAAAAATGTAATATAAACAACCCAGAAGACTAGAAGTTGAGAAATTATAATCTGATTTGTGTTCTTTTCTATAATAAAACTGAAATTGTTACGTAGAGTGCTTTCCTGAGTTCTGTGAGTTCTACTATCAAATCTTTGGGGGTAGTGGAAACCCTTGAATTTGAAGCCAACTGTTCACAAGTAAGACCTGTTCAGGGGACCCCTGAACTTGCAGCTGGTGTCTGAAGTGAGGGCACTCTTAGGCAGCACTGTACCTTTAGTTTTGAGTTTGGCAATATATTGGATATAATATATTGGATATATAATGTTAAATTTCTTTATTTTTTCAGAACACAAAGGGAATTTTTAAAAATTTTAAACCAAAAATGAATATACACCAAGGTCCTACAAATACAGACTCTAAGTGTAACAAGTAGTGCTTCTGAGTGCAAAAGGTAACGAACAAATATAAAACACCTGGCACATAGCAGGTACTCAATAAATACATTTCTCTTATTAAAAAGTAGGTGAAGATAATCCAAAGATAATCCAAAGTAGGTAAAGATAGCAAATAAATATTAGGAAAAACATATTTCATTTATTAATAATGGTGATTTTCTCATGCTCTTAACTTTTCAAATACAGAACTGTCATTTCCAGCATCAGTGGAATAAATCTATTTCAGTTAAACTCAAGAAAGAAACTTTAAATGATTTACATCAATTTCATATAAATAAGAAATTTAATCTGTTGATTTAGGAAAATCTTGGAGCAAAACTCAGTTTCTCAGAGAATAAACAATCAAACTATAAAAAGTTTAAATTATACCTGATGAAATAATTCCATATCGATTTCAGCTTCTGACTTCCAAGAGTTTTCATCTGATTGAAATAAAAAATATTGACTTACTAAAATTATGAAACATTTTTTACTTTGTTGCTACAACTTTATCTTTGTAACAAAGTGAAACACCTAACAATTTCTAAGGCAGTGTTATGCCTACTTACCAGAAACATTTTCTTGGAAAATAACTTTAGTTCCTTTCAGAAAGTTCTTGCCAATTAAAAATACTTCTTCCTCTCCTTTCACTGAACAGCTATGCAAGCTCTTCTTTAAGATTTCTGGCACTCCTGCCGGTTGAGCTGTAGGTATATATAAGCATCCCATAAGAAGAACCACCAACACATTTCTTATCTAAAATCAACTCTCAATTATTCAGTTCTATAAGTTGTCTTTGTTGACCCCTGAATTTGCCTTCTTTTATTCTACAATGCAGGAGACTCCAGTTCGATTCCTGGGTTGGGAAGATCTGCTGGAGAAGGGATAGCCTACCCACTCCTGTATTCTTGGGCCTCCCTGGTGGGTCAGAGGGTATAAGAAAACACCTGCAATGTGGGAGACCTGGGTTCAATTCCTGGGTAAAGATCCCCTGGAAAAGGAACAGCTACCCACTCCGATATTCTGGCCTGGAGAATTCCATGGACAGAGGAGCCTGGCAGGCTACACAGTTCTTGGGGTTGCAAAGAGTTGGACATCACTGAGCAACTTTCACTTTCATTCTGCAAATCAAAATTTACCATAACAGAAAGCAAAGTTACATGTCATCTTTGTTTTCTCATTACATGAAAAAAAAAAGGTGTAAAAATGAACTTGGTCATGTTTTTGTCTTAACGTTAAAAAAAAATCAATTTAATAACAAATATCTCACAATCCTAACCATAAAAATGTTATCTGTGCTACACCTTCACAAGACTTCTGAGGCAAAGTGAGCCTCTGGGTGGTATTAAGAGTATCTTTAAGGATCCAAATCTAGAATTTAGAGTCTCTAAATGAAAAGAAACCTGAAAACAGACTGAATCCATTTCAGAATAATTCTTTCTACCAGAGGATCTCCCTGAATTAGGATACCTTGAGAATAAAAATAAAACACACTCATTTTTCAATTATAAAGACTAACTAACCACTAGTAAATTAACAAAGAGGTAGAGAAGTACTGAGGAGGAGCCGGATCTAATAAACTATAACTGGCTTACTAATCTTCCTGATTTTCTTAAGAAAATTTAATATGTACCGTTTAGTAAAATAGGTTCCAAAATTTCCCCAAACATTTCACATTCTGATGTACACTATAAATATCCAAGAAATGGGTGTAGTACACAGTTTTCTCAATATATCTGACCCCAGAAACATTCTTCCATATTGACACCTAAGGACTAGGTTTCCACCAGAATGCTCCCTGGAATACTGGTTAATGCAAATACATACCTTTTAGGTACTCAGAAAACTGGTCCCTTAAGATTAAGCACTTTGAAAGAGATTACACCGTTTGCTGTTTTAGTAAATCCTAATAATATATATACTGAAAAAGTAATTTTAACATGGCTGTATAATTCATCAAATTCTAAATTTGAGATAGTCTAATACACGTGGAATGTTACAAATCTCTGTCCATAGTTCTTCAGGCATTCTGTCTACCAGATCTAATCCCTTGAATCTATTCGTCACCTCCACTGTATAATCATAAGGGATTTGATTTAGGTCATACCTGAATGGCCTAGTGGTTTTCCCTACTTTTTTCAATTTAAGCCTGAATTTTACAATAAGGAGCTCATGATCTGAGCCACAGTCAGCTCAAGGCAGGTCTTGTTTTTGCTCACTGTATAGAGCTTCTCCATCTTTGGCTGTAAGAATATAATCAAGGTGATTTCGGTTTTGATCATCTGGTGATGTCCACGTGTAGAGTCATCTCTTGAGTTGCAGAAGAGGGTGTTTGCTATGACTAATGTGTTCTCTTGACAAAACTCTGTTAGCCTTTGCCCTGCTTCATTTTGTACTCCAAGGCCAAACCTGCCTGTTAGTCCGGGTATCTCGTGACTTCCTACTTTTGCATTACAATCCCCTATGATGAAAAGGAAATCTTTTTTAGGTGTTAGTTCTAGAAGTCTTGTAGGTCTACATAGAACTGGTCCACTCCAGCTTCTTTGGCATCAGTGGCTGGGGCACAGATTTGGATTACTGTGACGTTGAATGGTTTGCCTTGGAAACAAACTGAGATCATTCTTGTTTCTGAGATTGTACCCAAGTACTGTATTTTGGACTCTCTTGTTGATTATGAGGGCTATTCCACTTCTTGTAAGGGATTCTCGCCCACAATAATCGACATAATGGTCACCTGAATTATATTCGCCCATTCCCATCAATTTTAGTTCACTGATTCTTAAAACACCAATGTTCACTCTTGCCATCTCCTGCTTGACCATATCCAATTTACCTTGATTCATGAACCTAACATTCCAGGTTCTTTTACAGAATCGGATTTTACTTTCACCACCAGACACATCTACAACTCAGCAATGTTACTGCTTTGGCCCAGCCTCTTCATTCTTTCTGGAGCTATTTTTCTTCTATTCCCCAGCAGCATGTCAGACTGCTACTGACCTGGGGGACTCATCTTCTGGTGTCATATCATCTTGCCTTTTCATACTGTTCATGAGGTTCTTGAGCAAGAATACTGGAGGGGTTTGCCATTTCCTTCTCCAGTGGACCACATTTTGTCAGAACTCTTCACCATGACCCATCCATCTTGAGTGGCCCTCCACAGCATAGCTCATAGCTTCATTGAGCTACACAAAGCTCTGATTCATGTGATCATTTTGGTTACCTTTCTGGGATTGTGGTTTTCATTCTGGAGGTTGTGGGACTGTAGTTCTTGCTTCTTCTGTTTGCCCTTTGATGGATGAGGCTAAGAGGCCAGTGTAAGCTTCCTGATGGGAGAGACTGGCTGTGGGGAAAGCTGGGTCTTACTTTGGTGGGCAGGGCCATGCTCAGTAAATCAAATCCCTTATGATTATACAGTAGAGGTGGCAAATAGAGTCAAGGGATTAGGTCTGATAGACAGAGTGCCTGAAGAACTATGTATGGAGTTTTCTAACACTATAGAAAGCAGTGACTAAAACCATCCCAAAGAAAAAGAAATGCTAGAAGGCAAAGTGGTTGTCTGAGGAGGCCTTACAAGCTGAGAAAGAAAGAGAAGTTAAAGGTGAAAGGGAAAGATATAATCAACTAAATGCAGAGCTCCAGAGAATAGTGAGGAGAGATGAGAAAGCCTTCTTAAGTGAACAATGTAAAGAAATAGAGGAAAAACAACAGAATGCGAAAGACTAAAGACCTCTTCAAAAAAACTGGAGATACCAAGGGAACATTTCATGCAAAGATGGGCACAAAAAAGAACAGAAATGGCAAGGAACTAACAAAAGCAGAAGAGTTTAAGAAGAAGCGGCAAAAATACACCAAAGAGCTATACAAAAAAGGTCTTAATGATCCAGATCACCATGATGGTGTGGACACTCACCTAGAGCAGGACATTCTGCAGTGTGAAGTCAAGTCACCATTAGGAAGCATTACTATGAACAAAGCTAGTGGAGGTGATAGAATTCCAGCTGAGCTATTTAAAATTCTAAAAGATAATGCTGTTAAAGTGCTGTACTCAATATGTCAGCATATTTGGAACACTCAGCAGTGGTCACAGTACTGGAAAAGGTCAGTTTTCATCCAATCTCAAATAAAGGCAATGCCAAAGAAAGTTCAAACTACTGTACAATTTCACAGGCTAGCAATACTCAAAATCCTTCAAGCTAGGCTTCAGTAGTATGTGAACTGAGAACTTCCAGATACACAAACTGGATTTAGAAAAGGCAGAAGAAGCAGAGATCAAATTGCCAACATCTGTTGGATCATCGAAAAAGCAAGAGAGTTCCAGAAAAACATCTACTTCTGCTTCACTGACTATATACTAAAGTCTTTGACTGTGTGGATTACAACTGTGGGAAGTTCTTAAAGAGATGGGAGTACCAGACTACTTTACTTTACCGCCTTCTGAGAAATGTGCATGTGTGTTAAGAAGCAACAGTTAGAACCGGACATGGAACAATGGACTGGTTCAAAATTGGGAAAGGAGTACGACAAGGCTGTATGTTGTCACCCTGCTTATTTAACTTCCATGCAGCGTACATCATGCGAAATGCCAGGCTGGATGAACCACAAGCTGGAATCAAGAATGCCAGGAGAATTAAACAACAACTTCAGATTTGCAGATGATTCTATTTTAATGGAAGAAAACAAGAGGAACTAAAGAGACTCTTGATGAGGGTAAAAGAAGAGAGTGAAAAAGCTGGCTTAAAACACAACATTCAAAAAACTAAGATCATAGCATCTAGTCCCACTGCTTCATGGCAAATAGAGGAGGAAAAGTGGAAACAGTGACAGATTGTATTTTCTTGGGCTCCAAAATCACTATGGACAGAGACTGAAGCCACAAAATTAAGACACTTGCTCCTTGGAAGAAAAGCTATGACAAACCTAGACAGCATATTAAAAAGAAGGGATATCACTTTGCCAGCAAAGATCTGTATAGTCAAAGCTATAGTTTTTCCAGTAGTCATGTACAGATGTAAGAGTTGGACCATAAAGAAGGCTGAGCACCAAAGAATGAATGCTTTTGAAATGTTTTGCTGGAGAAGACTCCTGAGAGTTCCCTGGACATCAAGGAGAGTGAATCAGTCAACCCTAAAGGAAATTAACCCTGAATACTCATTGGAAAGCCTGAGGCTGAAGCTGAAGTTCCAATACTTTGGCCACCTGATGCAAAGAGCCGAGTCATTCGAAAAGACACTGATGCTGGGAAAGACTGAGGGAAGGAGGAGAAGGGGGCAAAAGAGGATGAGATGATTGGATGGCACCACTGACTAAATGGACAAGAGTTTGAGCAAACTTTGGGAGAAAGTTAAGGACAGAGAAGCCTGGCATGCTTCAGTCCACGGGATCACAAAAAGTCGGAAACTTAGCAATTGAACAACAATAACTAAACTTTAACCAAAGTTTTAAAGTTTTTTTCTCCTTAGGTACTTATATATTTGATAATCAATTTTATCTTTACAAGAAAGTAATGTGGCAAATTATTATTGTCAAAGTATTACTGCCCCGTTTTCCCTAGGCCTACCCTTTCTGTCAGAAGACTCTTGCTCCACACAAGGTCATTCTTGCCTCATTCATGTAAGGATTAGCCACGTGACTTGTTTATATAATGAAATGTGAACTGAAGTCATGTGCCACTTCCAGGCTTTACCATATCCATGTGGTTCCACCATCTTTTTTTTCCTCCACTAAAAAAACAGCAATATCCCAGAAAAAGGCAGCTTCTAAAGCCTGGTTCCCACAGTGAAGAAAATGGAGCTGCTCCTCAATTGCAGCCAATATCATCATAAAATGAGGGAAAAGTAAAACTGTGTTGTATAACCACTTAGATTTTTTTGGTTGTTTATTACTGTAGCATCATTTAGTTTCACTTATTGATACAAACAAGTATCTCATCCTAATTAAATGCCAAATAATATTTTCAGCAATGCCTAAGAGTTTAAAAAAATTGTGATTGTATATACATATATACTGTCTAGAACCACAGGGTTAATGTATGAACAGATGGAAACAGTTATCAGTCATACACTGGTAATCATACACCCTTTTAAAACAAAGAACCAACTGAACTAATTTATAACTTTTGGGAGTAACACTGGAACTAGATACTCATTTTTAAATGACATTCAAGAAGAATACGATAAACATTATTTTGATTAGAAAACAGTAAGAGGTACAAAATTATATGAATGTATTATAGTAACAAAATGAATGGAAAGTCTATAATATCACCCCCACCCACTTATAAAATACTATATGGAAACTCCACTTTGTTCATGATTATCAAAACTTTTTCCTATCTCCTTTTTCCCTTTTATGCATTAAAAGGCATAAGACGGCCAAATGAGGCACCTCTGAAGGTACAATGTATATTTATCTTTTATATATTTGTATTTACATTACACAAGGAACTAGTCTGTTCAAGATAATTTAACTTTTGACCTTAAAAGGTCTTATCTGTTAAAAAGTTTGGTGGTTACCTAACAGGACATACTCTATACCAAATAGAACTGAAGTCAGGATTATTAAAGCATTAGCTGTTTTATTTTTACCTTTAATTAGTAAGCTGCCCCTTGAAAGGGATCACATTGCTTTAAAAAATTATAACAGAAAAAAGCAGCTACTTTTCTGCTATTATAAAATACAATGTGCTTTTAGATGCTGTTCAAATAGGAGCCTCAAAAATAAAGCTGAAGAAAATGAACATCTGAATACTGAAAAATAACAAAGCAAATATTTCAACCTGTCAAAAGAATTAGAAAGCCTTTTTAATGTCTGTGAATAGAACAAAAGTTAACTGAATGGTATTACTCGTTACCTAAAGCTGTGGAAGAGCCATAAGTAAAGGAAGAACTTGTTAATTTCAGTAAGACTTAATATAGTAAGTATTAGTAAGATAAAGCCTAATATACATTATGTTGAAGAAAGCTATGATTAACTTTGCCACATTAAAAATTACTATAGAAGGGTAGATACTAAAAAAGTATGAAAATTGATATTTTTACTTTGATCTAGTATATATATATTTTCTGGAGAAATCTAAAGGTGTGAAAGGAGAGGATTCTTCTATCCCCTTAAAAATAAACGAACTAAAAGAAAATGGATCCAATGGCCACTGTTAAACCAACAAGAAGAAGCAGGATTGTTTTTCTAAGGTCACAAGGCACAGCATGAATTCTGGCATTAGGCCTTCTTTCCACTGAGTGCCTCTAGAGGGAAGATCAAGTATCTGTTTCCTCTCCTCCCTTCCACCTGTAGCACCTTTTGGCCCCTCTTCCTTTCTGCTTACCTCTCATCTTCCTGTTTCCTTCTACCTCCCACTCCAATTCTAACAAATTATTATAGCAAAGGTACCTCTTTCTTTAAAAGAAAGTATTGCTCAAGTTTATCTAATTCAATTTCACCAAGCTGATGGCAATATAAATGCCAAGCAGTCAACTAAAGGAGTAAAAATATATATCCTACACCTCCATAATAAATGACATTTACAAAAGGAAATGGAAGAGATAATATAGGTATTCAAGCAAAATCCCCTAATATAAATTGAGATCTACTTTCTAAATTCATAAAAAATCTAAATTACACAACACAAATATCATAGGTAGAGGAAATAGTTTTTCTAACATAATTTCATACTGTAACTATAGTCCTAACCATCTGGACGCTATAGCTGGGATAAAATGAATTGTTAAAATTTTGTTTTTAGCACTGCTAAATTTTAAGTGACTGTGGTGGCAACACAGCACAATGGCTAAAAAGGAGGCTTTTAATCCTGTCTTACTATTTACTAGCTACGTGACCTTGAGGAAGTTATTTAAGTCTCAGTTTCAACAACTGTAGAACAGAAACAACAAAAGGCAATGTTGAGGGTAAATGACATAATGCTTATAAAATTGTTAATAAAATCTCTGGCATACTGTGAAGAGTTCAAAATATGGCAATTTTTATTATTAGCTCTACATGCCGCTGCTTCTTAGGACTATCAAATTCACCCAGACACAGCTTCTAAGGGAGATAACACTTTTTGCAACGTGAACATATTAATATGTTACCATTAATGGTGATGATTAATGAATGAAAATTATAACTATAGATGAAAAATTTCTGAAAATCATGTTTTCTGTTTCTTTTATATTTTCTATCTTTGGCTGGATACATTTATACTTATATTTTAACAATACTTCAATTAAATAGGAAATAAAGAAATGAACTACTGAAAGAAGAAATAAACAATTATTAATAAAATAAAACTGAGGGGGGTTCAGGACAGGGGGAACACATATACACCCATGGCTGATTCATGTTGATGCATGGCAAAAACCACCATAGTATTTATTGTAAAGTAATTAGCCTCCAATTAAAATAAATAAATGAATTAAAAAATAAAATAAGATAAAGTTGACAACCATCCCCCAGTTCCTGCTAAGGCAGTATGATCTGAATTATCTAGCATCTCCTGGATCTGGTCTTCAGAGAGTGGCTATGGTCATGCTCAAAGTATTAGATCACATAAAAGAAGAACTGCATGTACCCAACTAAAATTGAAATTCCATCCTTATAATATTCAAGTTGAGACATATTGTGATTTATAGTAAACTAGCACCCAAATTAGAAAAACTTTAGAATTCAATAAACCATCTACAGATTACTTATTCTGTCCCTATCTAAACACAACAGAATGGACGTGGAATCTACACAAACTTTAAAAGGAGTATATTTATAAGTGAACATTATCCAGAAATAGTCCAAGAAAACACTAATACCATAACAAATTTTTCGTAATAATGAAAAATAGAAGTCTACTGAGTTCTCTTGAGATCACAAATATATTTACTACTACCCTTTTAAAACAAGGGTGTTTGCCAAGCTAACGTATAGGTATTCACATCTGAAATGAATTAAAAGGAAGGGAAAAATAAGATTTACTAAGGGTGAATAAGTTGACAAAACTAAGCTACAATTAAATAACAAAGGCTTTGTAAGTGTCTGGGGGTACCAAGGTCACAACACCCATAACCCATCCAATAGGAAATTCAAGTGAATGAAACTCAGTTTCTTCTGCTCTTTTGAATTCAGAAGTAAGGCCAAAGAACATAATACTTAATGAAAATCTTCTTAAGGGATGTACAAAGGAAAAAATTTTCCTATGTGTTACTTGTACTAATACTCATTACAGAGAAACCAGACTATATAGTAAGGCACATTGATAACACGACTGAATTTAAATACACACATATACATATCATTTATTTTCTATGCCAAGGTCAGCAAAGCAAGAATTTAATTTTCCATTATACTACAGCACTTTAATTTGTAATCTGAACTCTCACTGCTATTTATTTACAAAGTTCTGCTTACCTTTCTGTTTCCTTACGTTCTAACACAAAACACTTAGGATCACAGCAATTTACCACAAAATGAAGATGCTGTGAAAATCCTTCAGATTTGTAATTTACTTAGGCAAACTATTCAAATTACTTTTTAAATCAGTATAAGATTAACAGGAAACTACAAAATGCTATATAACTTCTGAGTCTTATTAGAAATTACCCACCTTTAGTCTAGAAAACCTGACCAAAGCTTTTAAAATGTTGCAAAGTTTGCATGACCATAAATAAGCTTAAGTATGTAATACAACTGAAATTTAGAGATATCTGAATGATAAACAGAAAATGGAAAAAAAAACACCTCTATATATTTAATATCTTCATATTTTCTTACTTACTACATAAAATTGGAGAAGAGGGTGTTTGCAGTGTCAAAGTGGAGCCATCTTTCCTTGTGATATTAACTCGAAAAACCAATCTGGCACGAGTGCTCTTTTTCTTGGAACCAGCAATTCCTATCCTGGCTTCAACATCAGCATTCCTCAATTTCAATATCCCTACGCAGTCAACCCTGATACAGAAAAAATATATTAACTGATATATAAATAGTAATATATTCTTAAACATTTTCTTTTTAAGAATAATTTGCTTATTTATTTACTTTTGAATATGTAATATATGGTTCCAAATTTTAAAAAATAGAGAAGTGTAAATTCTAAACATTCATAACTTCTCTGGTCAACTTTTTATTTATAATAATAATGGGAAAAATAGTATAGAAATCACTATTTCAAAATCTGAACATAAGTTATGGTTTACAAGAGATACTTTTGCTTTAAAAAATTAAATGTATCCTCTTCCTTTTTGTACCTAATTCAGATACTAAAATAAGGGACAAATTTTACTTGGAAAAAAACTAGCAACTGTCTCCCTCCAAAATGGAACACTGTATAGCCACTAAGATGCATGCTTTAAATAATATGTGATGTTTATATGGGAAAATGCTCACAGTAAGTGAAGAGTAGGTTACAGAGCAGTGTCATCTCATTTTATCAGAAACAAGGATGGAAAAATAAATGTCAAAATAGTAATAAGTTCTATTAAGTTGGAAGTTGGCGTTTGAGGAGTATGTTTTTTTTTGTTTTTTTTTTTTTAGGAGTATGTTTTTAGCTTTCTATTACTACTAATTTTTAGTAATTTAAAAAATTTATTCTGTTTTCAACTTATAAGGAGTAAGTACTATTTTTATAATCAGTAACTCCATCTTCCACCATATACATTTACTTTTATAATTTCAAAAGTTAAAAAAAAACCTTTATTAAATATGTTTCAAAATTTCTCTTTTCCAACTTATTATTTCCCTCTTACTTATTTAAAAAAAGCTTTAAAAAAAAAAAACAAAAAAAAAACCACTAAGTAAAGAAAAGTCTTCAGCTATCCAATACAAATAATTACAAAAATGTCTATCCCATACCAATATTTGCTGCTGTTAAGTTTATCTTTCTGATTAAAGGTCCTCAACAAAAGGGTTAAGGAAAAAAGAAATTTAATTTAAATCCTTAACACCTGTAATATATTTCAGGAAATGAAAATGCATAACATGAAAAATAGGTAATCCCGGGACATAATTTTTTTTTAACACAGGAAAGCAGAAATAGAAGGTAAATTTAGACTAACAATATGCCTTTTCATTCCAAGACTGGTTAAAGACACCATGAATGATGTCTGTCAGTTTCTACTGCAAACACTACAAAAGTGGAATTTAGGAAAGTAAATCAAATTGGTTGTAATTTTAGTTTTTAATGTTAATATAATAAAACCAACATATAAGTCTAAATTATTTTCCAAAAGGCCAGCATTCCACCTTGCTTTTATATCCTTGCCTTTCACTATGGGAATTCTCTAGCAAAGGGCAAGAATTCATTTCCCCCATTACAATTCTGCCATAATCTATTCTTTTTATTTGCAATGCTTAAAACTTAAAATCTTTTATATTTACATTAGAAACTAAAAACTTTTCCTCCTATTCCAAAAGTGTAATGAACTAACAAAAAAATTTTAAGTAAGTACTCACGCCAGTGTCATATTGTTGCTTGGATCAAGGCCAACTTCTATAACAGTAGTGCCTTCGATATCCACTTCTTTGCAGGGAGTTGTATTTCGCCCAGTTACCCTGCAGGCCTGATAAAATCCATGTGGTTTCACTCGACCAGAGTCATTGCCCACAAACACCTGCAACACCACTGGCTCATTATGGCCTTCCAGCTGGAATGAGATAACATGGAGCATAAACACTAATTAGCATTTCAAATAATCGAACTGTAAAAATCAAACATTTAAGGTCAAGTCTTATATTATTATATTTATAACTGGATTACAATAAAGAAATAAGTCCTCCAGAAAAACAGAGGAAAAATGTTTTCATAAAGGAGAATTAGCTAAATTTTTGAAGAAAACTTTAAGTTTTAGTTCTGCAACAATCACATTAATTAAAATTTTAGATGTGTAATGAAAAATTATCATCTGTAATTAATTTTTACAACCAGAGGAGAATGAATACACAATCCTTTGAGGTATTTATAAATTTATGGACTGCCAAAGCATGTGGGTTACTTAGGATTTACCACCACCACTAACGGAAAATTCACTAAACTGTATTAGTGGCATCATCATCAAGTAAGAGTACATCTACTAAATTTTTACTCTGTGAAAGTTATTGGGTAGGAAAGCATTTGACCTTCAGCTATATAAATAATAGGGGAATGGGGCTCATTTTCATAGACTAGAGGCATATATGCAACATCATAAAATCATGGGCCAGAACATTATGATCTGAAAAACTGCTGGTTCAAACCAGGACCTATGGGTCATTTACAGGTCTCTAACAAGCCTTCATAAATTAAATTACAGTTTGTATGCTGACAAACAAATAAATTGGGTTCTTGATTAGGTTTATAGTTAAACACTGAAGCTGCTAATATAGAACATAGAAAATCACACAATAACTTGTACAATGCACATCAAAGTGCTTAAAAATAACTCATAAATGTTTTTTATTCAAGAATAGCTATATCTTAGTATCTATGGTATCATAATGAGTCAAATAAGCAGGCAAATAAGCAGTCTACCCAAACTGTTAGTCAGCAGTACCACAGAACAGTGTCTGGCACATAGAAGGGTACCATATCTGTTGAATGAGTGAATAAATAAACTTTTAAGATCAGGCAATTCATCCCCTATTACAGGCAATTAATCTAACAATACTTCTATAGACAAGTACTTAGACAAAACTTAATTAAAGCCAGAGAAATTAGGTTAGAAAATTCAAACTATCAAAATGTCTGGTTAAACAAATATTTACACAAGCATAACTTAAATGTCTCACTTGCCTGTTACTTGTCCTAAGTTCGGGGGACTAAAGAAGGACCGGTGTGGTGAGCAGTAGAGGGGTAGGAATGGTATTGTACATGTAACTACTAACCAACCTTATAATGGTCATCAGTAAGTTTCTTGATTTCAAGTTTCTGCCATTATTTCTTTCATGTATAAAAAGAAAGGCAGTTCAATGAAATGATGTTCAACTAAAACATTTACACAAGCTGTATTTACAAGAATCTACCCTGTGACTAGCCAAAATTCCTCCCTGTTTAGTATTTTGCAAGGGGTAGGAACACTTGTTAAATATCCCCTACTCCACTTTTATTTTGGTTTCTCTTCAAAGAGAAAAAGTCTTTATAATAAGGTAGGCCAGGTGCTGAAATTTAACTGCTCCCTCTTTTTCTTTTTAGTCTAAGTTCTGAAATGCTAAAGACTCAACTGATATCCTGTTTCCTAAACTGAAGATTTCAGTTACCTATCAATCAACTCTTTACAGAGTTGAGTAGACCTGATTGCTTTCGACATCTCAAAAACCTTATTTTCAAGTCCACGATAATTTCTACAATATTTCTTTGGATTCACTTTAAAACATTTTTAAAATATAGGTTTGGAAGGAATGTAAAAGAGTTGCTACCAATGTCAAACATAAAGGGAAGATAGTTTATGATTGTCATATATTTTACTTGTTAGAACACATTCTGTTTCCATTTAAACTAAAATTCAAATGACATCCGAGTAACAATATTTGGCTTATGATTCAGTCAGACTTTTACTTTAATTTCTAATATATACAGTGATTAGCTTTATTTTAGACAGCTTTTATTGATTAAAAACAAAATAATAAATAAAAGTGGATACAATTCTTCATTTACTGCTAAATAAAATCAGTACCTTCACTGTAGGAAAGCCTTGCTGTGTTCTGTCCTTTACTGAGCCACGGCTACCCTCAGTCAGGTACCGAGCTCTGTGCTGGGTCTCAGGTTGTACAACTATCTTCAGCTCCTTTCCCTCACTTTTAACAGGATACTGTCCACATAACATAGGGCTCTTCTTTACTCCAGTTCCTTTTTGGTTTTCCAATGTTCTGAGAAATCAAAGCACAAAGTGGAAAAAGTATCAAAAAGAGTTTTCTACAAAAGTCATCCAAGATAAAGGAAGAAAGAGAACAGGCAAAAACATTAAAAACAACTAATTACCTTACTGACAAAATAAATACAGCCTAAGGAATGATACATTCCATAAGCAAAGTATCTTTTAAAACTTTGTAATTAAAAAGAATGTGTGTGTGTGTACATATATGTATACACAAAGTCACTTTGCTGCACAGCAGAGATGGGCACATTATAAAGCAACTAAATACTTCAATTAAAAAAACTGAAAATTGAATTTTGTAATAAAGTTGGATAGGGAAGAAAAAGAATGCATATGCGTGGCAAGAGGAAGGAAGACTGAATGCAATAAACTAAGCATAACAGGAAAGAGAATAGCTAATGTCACTGTAACCTTTCACATTGTACTTCAGTCAAAATAAAGTTTAAAAATTATATATGTGTGAATGTTACATAAAGTTACAAGATTATCATTATCTTCTAATAGGTCTTGCAGTACAAAAGTAGGGGTAGCAAAAAGAAAAACAAAAAAAAACATAAAAGGCCTTACAAAAAAACCAAAGGTACAGGTGCATATTCTTTTGGATATCTTCCTCAGTATATCAAACTGAGAAAGTTATACTAAAAAAAAAAAAGTGAGTTGATTTTTATTTGGAAATTAGCTTTATTCTAAATAATTTTTCCCAGAATTTTAATTTTTCAGAGTATTTTCATTTGTGATTAATAAAGCCTTTAGCATATAAAAAATGTATAATCTGGGCTTCAGAGATAGTCAATTTAACTTATTTAAGTTGGGTTTCCAGTGTTTACTGATGTATCATGCATTTGCTATGCAGAATGTATGTTTGAAGAAATATTTCAAGTGGTGGTTAGGACTTCAAGTCAACACATTTAATCTGAAGTACTGTAACTATGTGATAAAAATAAATAGAAAATAATACTATTAGTTTAAAATTTATCTATATTTAAAAACAGAGTCAGGGCCTATAATGCTTTTGGCATGATTTTCCCAGTCCTAAAGTTTACACTCATATTGAAGATACAGGATCCAAGAGGTGACTGTGGCCAAAATCCTGTCCAAAAGCAAACAGGTCCCAGGAGAAATATTATGAGTTCAAACATAGGTGGCTAAGCAGCCTAAAACCTAGCTCCAATGTTTACCTCTCTCCATTTTCTTTCTTTTTTTTAAATAAAGTTTTTTTTAAAATATGTGGACTATTTTAAAACTCTATTGAATTTATTACAATATTGCTTCTGTTTTATATTTTGGGTTTTTATTTTTTTGGCCTTGAGGCATGCGGGATCTTAGTTCCCTGACCAGGGATCAAATCTGCATCGCCTGCATTGGAAGGTGAAGTCTTAACCACTGGACTGTCAGGGAAGTCCCTACCTCTCCATTTCTAATCAAATTGTTGCCTCAGTAGTCAATAATAAAGAGGGAAAGGCTACATTCTCAATGGAATTCGGGACTGGGGTGAACACATGGCTAGGAAAGGGACAGAAGAATGGAGGGAAGAAGGGATGCAAAGGAATGAAGTCAGACTGACTGAGAAAAAGGGTTCTGAGGGGGAAATACATTGTTCAATTATCTTCATATTCCTTAAACCTTGCACAATTCCCAAAAGATGCTGAAAAAGTATTTGCTGATGAAGGCAAACTTGTTGATGAAGTCTGACATAATTAAGTCAAAGATTACCTGTATAAGAAATTTAAAAGGCCTTGGAAGAAAAAATTCTATGAACGAAAGTATGGAGTCAAAGTCAAAACAAAAACAACACCACCAACAAAAAAGTCAAAACAAAGGGCAATAAATTCTATTTTTTCATCATTCTGGGTAGAAACTCAAATCTTTGCAGTGAATACAGTATTTTGCATATGAAATTCTATAGTGATACTGTTTTTTAATCATTTGAAAAATCAAAGCAGGGACTCCTCTGGAAGTCCAGTGGTTAAGATTGCTCCCAATGCAGGGAGTAAGGGTTTGATCCCTGGTTGAGGAACAAAGATCCCATATGCTGCACAATGTGGTCAAAAATTTTTTTTTAATTTAAAAATTAAAGCAAAAATATTCACTCAAACCATATAAAAACATCCCCAAATATGCACTGAAAGGGACTAAAAGAAAATACAACCAAATTCTAGTATTAGTTGTATCGATTTACTAGATTGTAGATTATTTCTTGTCTTCTATTTTTCTGCATTTTTCAAATGTTTGTAACTAATATCTATTAACTTTACAATGAAAAACGGAAGACTTTAGTCTGAAATATAAGATAACTGTAGCACATCATTAATTTGGCAAGATATGGCTTTTGTATTCACTTATGCTAGCCAAAGCAATATTTATGAGAATAAATAAGATACTAAGCTTGATTATTTCAATAAAAACATTTCATTTGGGATGAAAACTATTAAGTTAATGAAGTATACACATTATGGTTTAAAGAACAACACATGTAATCAGTTTCTGAAATGATACTTTTAAAAGCCCTTAAAACTAACTTTATTCTCTAGGTTTAAATGTAAAAATGGAAGACACACATATTTAGATCTCAAGCTGTGTAAAATAGAACATCAACTACTTATTAGAAAAGTATTCATTCAAATTACTAATTTTTAATGCATTATGGCTTAAGGAAAAAATAAGAAAATAGCAGCCATTTGTATGGGATTTTACTTTCAAATTGACTATCTAAAAAGAAAATCCACTATCTTGCCATATTCTATTCAGAAGCCTTAAAATGACACTTTAATTCCTTTGTACTACACATCCTTCTGGTTGCCTGTCATAAAAATAATTTTTACCACAAAATGCCTAAAACAGTTTCACATATATCATATCTTAATTTCTAGGAATATCTAGAAGAGACACTGGGCTACTGATTCTCAGGATATTTAGGTGAAGAATTTAAGAAAAATACGTAATGCTTAAATAACTGAGTAGTTTTTTAAAAATTGTTTTGTTTTCTTAGCAATTCTTTCCTTTAACATTTTAATTATACAAAATGCTATTTCCATCTTGAAGATAAATAAAAACTGCTGTACCAAAATATTTGAGTTTATTTTCTATAATGTAGCTTTGTATAAACTGAAATTTTATGGCAAAATTTCTTTCATTTTCTAACATCTATGAACTTTTTTTTGAGATCTTCTTAACAATTGTTTCCAAAGACCTATTTTTTTTATATTTACATATGGTTTTATCCTTTCCTCAATAGAGTTCTTATAAATTCAAAGTTTAAATTTCTTCCATCATTTCCATAGGCTAGTGTCAAATGTTTTTCCATTACCTAAGAAGCTGGACATTTCTTCTGCTGCTTGATGAGTTTCTGTTCCATGAATTATTTCATGAGAGATTTTGTCTTGACAAATGTTATTATACTTTCCCTGGGTAACCTCAAATCATTTCTAAGATATATCTATCATACAAAAGCAGAAGCAGAAAAGATGTATGTCAAGATATCTTTTTAACAGCAACTGCAAATCATGTGTGTTGACTAATTGTTAAGTCAAATTTTATTTTTTCTTCATCAGAACTTTAACATTTATTTCAGTATAAAAATGAAAATCTCTCTTATGGAACTTAAAAAAAAAACCCACTTTCTCCACAGAAGTCCAAATAAACACATACCTGTATTTAATGACAGACACATATGAACCTTTTATATCTATGCTACTATGTATCAGAGCATTATTCTACAGGTAACAGTTCTACAAAATGCCCTATAATTGTTGACTCTGCTAACAGCAATACTTTTGGAAAGGGTATATAAGTATCTTTTAGATAATTTCCTAACTTGGACTTTCTAAAAATGAAAAATATTTAAATGGGCATTTTTATTTAACTATATCACCCCAAAGGAGTAACAGGCATTTTTGATTAACTATATCACCCCAAAGGAATAATGGGCATTTTTTATTTAACTTCATCACCCCAAAGGAGTTTTAGATGAGAGTAGAGAAGAGAGTAGTATAGAATAATCTTTGCTTAAACGGTAGACATTACTTTGAAAATATACTGAGAAAATATTTAAGGACAAGTTTAAGAAACAATAAAGGTATTCTCTGTAACTCTCAATCAGATTTTTAACTAAAAATCCACCAATGATGTAACCAAATAATGAACCCATCAAAAGCATCTCCATCATATTCTGTGACAACCTAAAATTGTAGGAGATCCTGGTCAACTAAAGGACCATTCAAAAAAAGTAATCTCTCAAGATCCAGTAAGTTAAACTTTATCAAACTATGTTGAATATACTGTAAGAAAATGTAATCAGAAGTCTAGCAACTAAATGTTACAATGAAAGTATCAAAGGAATTAGAAAGTTAAGTCATGGTATTCTGTATTTTAGAAGTGAACGTTCTATAATATAGCTACTGAAATATATTTAGTATGTGTTGTAAACTGGCAGAAATGAATGAAAACTCAAAATAGGTACCATGATTCTGTTCTATTATCCTTTATACATAACCCAGAATCACAGGAAAAAAAAGTGATTATATTTATTTTTAAAGAAACCCTAAACTTGCAAAATATATTAAACAAAAAGCTTAAAATAAATACATGAGTCTAAATCGAGACTCAAACTATCAATTTAGTTTTTTGTTTTCATCAAATAAAAGGAAAATAAGGTCTTCACAAAAATGGAAATAAACTGAATCATATGGGGGAGACAATGTGAAAGAGAAAACAAATTAGCCCTCTGTAAAAGTCTGTTTTAGCTAGAGCCATTACATTACTATCTATCTCAATGAGTAAAAATATTTTTAAAATCTTTTAAAGTATAAATTCATCTGAAATTTAAGTTATTTCTTAAACAGATTATTTTCATTTTATACTACTTAATCATACCCTTACTAAGATACCTACTGGCAAAATCTGCTGGTATTTTATTATCTTCTCTTGTGAAACCTGATCATTTTAAGTTAAAATTTTCTGTGATATCAATGATAAAATTAGTATCTTTGCTTTAGATGCAAACCTGAGCTGAGCAATTAAGAAAAATGAGGAATGACTTATTTTTTTGTTTTGCATAATGGTGAGAGAACTTTAAAAAAAATGTGAATACCAACCCATTTCCTGCTTTTGAGTTGCCTTTGTTGTCCGTGGTAAGCTGAGAAAGCACATAGTGAGGTGCTTTGGCACTGTCGGCATCAAATATATCCATATTAGATTCTTCACAATCTCGTCGTTTGACCCCCGGCCTCTGCTTTGGATTTCGTTTTCGTGATTTACGAGGTACCTCAGTGTTATCATTGTAGGAACTGGTGCTCATGTTACTGAAGTTGGAGGGGGAATCCTCCATCCACATACTGCAGCTCTGCTCAGATTCCAATCCACACCCCTCATCCTGGCAGGACATCCGACTGTTATCCAGCAAGTCCTCAGGTGGTGGTGAGATGTACAAGACTGTGTGCCTCTTCGGTGTTGATGGATGCTGCTGAACTGTGTTACTGGTTAACTGCTTTTCACTTACCCCTCGGTTACTTACCCCCAAGGCTGAGGAGCAGCTCTCGACTTGCATAGCCTTGCTGTCGGTGACTGAGGTAGAATAAATGGTAGGGCTGGAAGAGGTGGTAAAGGAGCTGCAAGCACCGCCCATGGAGGAAGAGGAGGGAGCTGAAGAAGCATCTGCAGTGTACAATTTAAGAGTAAATACACTATACATGTTTTCACCTATGCTGGCTAGCAGTCCCATTGAAAAGTGATTTGTGAACTGATTGTTTTTCCCCATAATGAATAGTTGGAATTTGGTTAAGTTTTAGAATATAAATGCTTCAAGCAATACAAGGCCTAAAAAAGCACAATTTTAAAAAAATGCCAAAATAGCATTATTTAACTTGTTATAATTGATTTTTAAAAATCTAATTTAATGTTTTAAGCTGTAAAGCAAGAATAAAGCTTTTATTGCCTCAGCTGGATATTTCTATTGAATTTTAATCATTTAAAATAAAAAAAAAAACCCCAATATGAAATATATGCTTGTGGTCCACATTCAATGCCAATTAAATAATTCATTATAGAATTTGAAAAGTGGGACTGTGCTTAGCCACAAAATATTAAAATAAGTTTCTAACCTATGAAGCAGAGAACTACAGGTCATTTTTAATGCAGACACTCCCTGCTTCAGAGGCAAATCCTGGAATAAAAATATGAGAAAATAAATGAGAAAAGAGCTGCTGATTATTCCAGATATCAATTATAAAATGAGAAATAAATAGAAAAAATATATAATCAACTGAATTGGAGGCAAAATGGAACTGGTACCGTCACTATGATTATTTTAAAATCTAGAAGAATAAAAATGAAAAAGGCTTGATTTGGTACAAGGTGGGCTACAGAAGATAAGCAAGTTAACTACTGAGGGTTTCCAGAAGTTGGAAGTGGCAATTCAAAACCATGATCTCTAGTAAATCCATCCTTTATGGCAGAATGAAAAACAGAGGAAGGACTTATCAATGGATGGGTTTTTCTTGTAAAGTACTTGATGATACATTCAGCACTTGGTTACCACTGTCCATTTACTCTCTCTTTAAAAGGTCTATTTGATTTTAACTATTAAGGGAATTTCTTCAGGTGAGTAAACAGTAAATTTTATTGACTGAAGTCTAATGAAAAAGAGTTGAACAGAAAAAAAAAAAATCTCTGGAGAGAATCAGATCTATCAATAGTTCTTATAAAAAGGTTTTTCATAAAATCACTTCCCTTGCCTATGCCTAACCGAAAAAGTCAAAAGTAGATCTTTTCAAAATGTGTGACCACTGGCAGATCAGTTCATTGAAAAATACGACTACTAAACCCTTTAACAGCATAATCTATGGAAGCACACTAATGTTACAGTTGGAAGTTATCAGTCCTATATAATTTTATCTTGTATAAGATACAGAGGGTTTATAATCATAAACATATACAAAAATGAAAATAGACAACATGTGACAACTAAAAATATGTTTAAATTGAAATTAATTTTTATCTATAGCATGTATGCTACTGTTTTAAAGTGGCATGATAAAATTTAAAACTGTGATGTGCAGTTACTAGAACTGCAACATCCACATCAATTATGTAAAGAGTGAAATGTAAGCATGCCAATGTTTAGATAATCAAAAGCCAAGTGCCAAAGATCTATTTTTAAATTGAAAAAATGCACCGAAACACTCAAATCATTGAAAGAACTAAATTCACCCACAATTTTTCACTGTTGTCAAGGCTGAAGAATACTGTTATTAATATTAGCCGTAAATAATGTAATCTACATAATGCCACATGGAAAGATTTTTCTCAACTACCATGAGTTAAGGCACTTAATGCAATTAGATGATACCAGTTCCATTTTCCAGTTTGTATCCTTGTCAAATGCAGTAGTTGAAATTGGAAAACTTCAGTCACTTTAAACTGCATTCCAATTTAAAGAAAAATTTTATCAATTTTGTATCATGCATTAATGCAATGTTTTCTTAGTAAATATTTTAAAAGATTTGTAAAAACTACAAAATTCTAAATACTAATGTCAGTGACAGTTTAGGAGCTGATTTGTAGCCACTTTGGGTTTAAATAACAAGGTTTTTCCTTATTTTTTGGAAAAATATGACAGAATTCATTTTAGAAAAGATAAAAAAGGTATTATGTCTAACATTCCTCCATCTGTTCCAACTATTGGCAAAAAAGAAACTACATGTGTATAAGCCTATGTTCATCATTTTCAGAGAAATACAAGTATGCAGCATGCAGTATTTGCGGTGGAACACACAAAGCATGCAACATGAATGCTGTGAACTTGTATTTCTAGAAGGACGTTTTCTCCCAACCACTCTTTGAATCTAGGTACCATGCACATGAGAACGCAGAATATGAACATCTCAGGGATCCCTGTCCATGAAAGACGGAAAGTCAGGTAAAATGTAATCAAGAACTCAAAAGTAAGTTATGTGATACTTATGAATTTAATATGCAAGATATAATCTAGAATTGCTCTTTAAAAGTATGCATGATTAAATCTTGCAAGTCTTATTTAAAAATCATGGTTATAAAACCCAATTGATATAATTGTACATAAATATCTGTTCTGGGACAGGTATGTGATGTCATACCCTGTGATATCATACCCTATAAATTATTTCCCTACATTTTCCATGGACATCTAACACACATTTTGAATATTATACCTGCAGTTTCCTGGATATATTTGTTAAATTAAAAAGTTTATGAGCACAAAACTATTAAAGCTGAAAACATAAACTGTCAAAAGACAGTAGAAAGCATCTTTTTTTTAAAATTACTTTTTAAAGGTCACCTCAGTTAGATCCTAAATTACTAACGTTCTACTTATTTTAAGAACATAATGAATATAAGACAATTTTTTGAACTATAAAACTCTTTACAGTAGTATCATTGTTCCTCTGATGCTGATGAATATGGTGTATAAAACCCTTCACAAAAGCATGTTACATTTTGGTTAGGAAAACATCACCTAAGTGCATTAATAATGCCAGGTGAGGTGGTAAAGTAAGGGGTAAGAACTATGGGCCCCTAGAAAGCACGGACAACATCTGTCTCATCTTAGACTCCCCAGACACGTAACATACTATGACTTTCATGTAGTGAAAATTCTACTTTTTAATTAAATTGATTTATGGGAAGGTCAGTATTTCCTATGTATGCTGAGTTACTTTAAACTGGTAAATAAAGGTACCGATGTGTTCATAATAGACACGTATCAGGGTTTTTTTTAAAGATTTACTACTCAAAATGCTTAGACTATATCTTACTATAACAACATTATCTGCTACAGGGAAAGTTTGGAAGTAACTTAAAAGAGTTTAGAGGTAACTTACTTATTTCTACAAAAATGTGCTAAGAACCTTGTTTCTTAAAACTCAGATATAAGTCAAGTGACCTACTTGTGTGCATGCGTGCTCAGTCGTGTATGACTCTTTGCAACCCTATGGACTGTAGCCTGTCAGGGTCTCTGTCTATGGGATTTCCCAGGCAAGAGTACTGGAGTGGGTTGCCATTTCCTCCTCCTGCGGCTCTTCCCGACCCAGGGATATCTCCTGCATTGGCAGGTGGATTCTTTACCACTGAGCCACCTGGGAAGCCCCGACATACTTGTATATTAATCCACAAATTTACTAAAAAATATAGAAAATTCTTAATATATTTATTAAAAATAAATGCATAAAATAATAGCAAGAACATTTCAGATTTCAAATCTGTGGATGAAGAGCCAAGGATACAGAACGCCAACTGTGAGGTAATACATGGATTTTTGACTGTGCTAAGAGACAGCACCCCTACCCACTCCAACCCTCCATCGTTAAAGGGTCAACTGTATTATTAATTTGTTTGGAAAGATGAAATGGAGTTTTAAATGACACTACATAGAGAAACCCATGTATATTTTACACAGTTTGCTTAAATTACATTTTAAAATTAAGAACTATTAGTTCTAGATTTGTAAATAAGAAATTAAATTATCACATCATTTTAGTGCTTTAAAAACCATAAAAAAGAGATGATACTTTGTGGACCTAACTAAACTTTTTACAGAAAGCTATGAGATTAGAAACATTCTTTAAAGTCCTCAAAAGAAGCAAATACCTTTCACTGATTTTAAAAAATATAACAGAAATGACATTTAACTAAGCTTCCAAGATAAAAAATGTGGTCCCTAGTATTTAAATATGCACTTATATTTTATAACTTTTCAACATCAGTGCAAAATCAGTTGAGTTTCCTTAAAAAAAAAAGCCATAAAAATTTACAAGTGTGCTAAGTGAACCAATAGTGGAACGGAGAAGGAGTAAACAAGACTGTTCAGAAAATAGTAATAAAAAACAACACAGGTGATCTGGAAACCATTTCTGGTCTAAAACACTTACTGTTCAGCCTAAGTTATTCTTTTTTTAAGTATTTCATTTTTCTTACTGGCAACAATGACTTCAAATCTAAGCATTTTGTTTGATAAAAGTCACCAGATATTAAGAACATATTTTCAGATCAAAGAAGAAAGATATTGACAGAAAAAATTTTATGAGGCCAACATTCATATTGCCAAGGGATTGAAAAATCTAGAACACACAAAGTGGCTGCAAACCTGCTTTGTCAACACCTTACATGCCAACCTTCGTTTTCTACTTTTCTTCTTCTTCTTAAAATATTAACGTAAAGTTTAAAACTTTACATAAAGCTTTAGTTTCAATCAGTATCAATTCACTATTTAGAAACAAAAAAAGAAAGGAAGGAAGGAAGAAAGAAAGAAAGAAAAAAAGACTTATGAAGAAGTCTGAAAACGAGACCGACCTATACCCTGGGTGAGATTGGATGGGTTAAGTGTCTCTGGCACTATTTGTCTTCACTATTGACAGACACTGTCACACAACCCACCACACGATGCCTGTCTCTGAATGGCGAAGCTAGAATGCAAGTTAAGTGTATTAATAGAAAAAACAACTAGCATCCCAGCATATAAAATAAGCAATCCAGATTACTTTACCAAAAAACAAAAATAAAAACAGAACAGAAAAAAAAACCAAAACCCAAAAATTGTAGTGTCTATCATTTAATTTACATGTTTAAAACAGTTTTAATTTCTCATTTGTACTTTTCCCACCCAACATAAGTTTATATGT